CTTTTACTTATATATTGAAACGTGATGTAAACCCTATCGATTTGAACACTCTTACTAACCGATAACAATAATTATTATACTTGTTCTTGATGATTTTTTTCTATTTTATTAATTTTAATGTATATTGTAAGTTGCTATAGGTGTTCTTGGGGTGAAAATGGGTGGTAAAGTGGAAGCACCCTTTAAAAATATCTTTAAAATATTATTGAAATAACTTAGGAATTTTTGCTTATTTACTCTTATTTAAAAAAAATGCTCAGGAGTAAGGAAAGAAATTAATGAATTGTAGAAATAATTAAAAGTAAATTGTCCCAATAATGACCCGTTAGGTCATTTTGAGAACTAGTCCTCTTTCTTTCATAAAAGACCCTTCTCGTAAATTTAAAAATGAGAATTTTGGAGTTATTCGTTAACTACAATTAATTAGTTAACAAGTAATTTTAAATAATTTATTTAATTAATAATAACAGGTCAGGTCTAAAATTTATTTAAGACCCTATCTTTTTGGCTCATATATATTAAAAATATGTTAGTAGGATTTGTCACTTTTCGGTACTTAATAAATTTTAGAATTGAGGAAATTTTAGCGCCAATCATTGGGTAATTATGGCAAAATAATTGTGGAGTAAATCCTTAAATAAATTGAGATTTTGGTCTAACTATTTTATACAGTGGACCGTATGTATGCATAATGATTATGGATTTAGTTTTGGTTTCACAATTTTCTTATAGTTATCAAGTTATAATTTAAGTTTTTATATATTGAGATATATAATTAAATATTAAGGGTGTTGTATTATATGATACCATTAAATTTATAATATTTGAAGGAATTGAGACTTACCTTAGGCTTGAAATATGGAAAATATGAGTGTTGATATATTAATTGATATCAAAATTAGGAACTTGATTATAAATTTGGATGAGCTTTTATGGGTCTAGGCTAATTATATTATTATATGAGTGTTGTTAGTTTCAAAATCTTATTGTAATTACTTATTTGAATATATTACATTTATTTGGAAGTCCAATGAAAGGGGAAGACTCAAGTCCCGGAGTGATTGTTCGACTATTTGAGGCAAGTGAATTTCTAAACCCTTGTTAAGTGCATAGAATCGTGTATTTCTTTGTGGTATGTGTTGGGGAGTAATGGGACTTGGTGATGGTTTACTTGTCCATATTGAATAACTCTAATGATGAAAAGGGGTAATAAAAGGCAATATGATTAATTATTGACGTGTGATGTGTTGAGAATGGTTTGAAAGGTTTATTGATTACTTGTTGATGTTGTATCACGATTGTGTTGTTGTGAATTGTGCATTGTTATGAAAATGGTCATTTCCTCATTATTTGTGTGAATATGTCATTTGCATTGATTTTGAGACATGGTTGTGATAAGTGTTATGTGAATTGAGGAAGAATAAGAAATTAAAGAGGATGTACCATTTCGAGGGACGTGTCGCGCGCCGCAACGTATACTATATTTCGAAGGACGTGTTGCGCGCCGCTACAAATTCTATTATCGAGGGATGTATCGTGCGCCGCGACGGATACTATATATCGAGGGTCGTGTCACATGCCGCGACGGATGCATGGACAAATATGTCCCTCATGGGTCCCGGTCTGAGAGACAGTGGGTGTCTATCACTAGGTCAGACATGCATCACTGTACTTGACATTGCATTCCATTGCATTGCATATCTTAATCAGTAGTGAACTTGATATTGTGTTTTGCTAATCTTGTGAGTGCCTTTCTGTGGAGGTTGTGATTGATGAATATTGAGCTTGTTGCTGAGGATATGTAATTGTTAGAGTGTTGTTGTTGAGTTGTATGCTATGTAAATTGTGAACTGTTAGGTTAGGCTGGTTTTATGCAGGTTGTAGGGGTGTAAGGAGTACCCGTATTCTATTTCCTTAGCTTGTGTTTAAAAGTTTACTTGCTGAGTACCGTGTGGTTTGGTACTCACCCCTTGCTTCTACATTTTTGTAGGTTACTTGCCCGGATCTTTGTGATACTTTCTCTTCTCTTCTTGTCCGAGGCTTCTTGTGTGTAATATGCCAGAAAATTTTTCGAACTAAGACTTGAACCATCCTTCGTTGTGAGTAGGATTTTACCGAGAAATTAAAATTTCTTAAGTGTTAAGTTCACTAGATGTAGCACCTTGAGTTCGAAAAAGAACTAAATTAGATATAGCAAAAATCTGAAATTTTGCTAGTTAAGCTAAGTATGAGTTTTGGGTCGACTTAAAACGATCATAACTCCTAGCTCAGGATGAGTTAGGTGTTCTATCATATACCGTAGGAAATATCTTTGAATTATCTTTCCAACGCCACCGAATTTTCTCAGTTTCGATATCGTATGAGGGAGATATGTCCATTCGAAGTTGGGTTGTCTAGATAAGAAAAGTCAAAACCGGATTTTAGAGGGGTATTTTGGTGTATTTTGGTATTTTGGTTTTTTCTTTGGACAATGTTGGCACAACGTAACAAGGAGCAAACTTTTGTGGAATGGACTAATCCCCCGGATTTCGTTTTGAAGAAGATAGAAGAAGATAAGAAGGGGATTCCTTTTATTGTAAATAAACTAACAAGTTCTATGTCGGATAAATGTACTACTACTACTATAGATATAGATGTAGGTTGCAGTACCGCTTTTGGCCACCTGGCTTGTATGGATGCATAACTAATATATATAATATTTCTCTTTTCAACCAAAAAAAAAAAAAGAAGTATAAAATCAGACGAGATTATAAATTATTAAGTGTCTTAATATAGTAGAACCTATTGAAATTTTATTTCATTGGCCCGGGCCGAGTTTGATGTTGAAAAAGAGCGATAAATTAATGCAAATGTTGGCATATCCGTTTTATTTACCATTATTTTTATATACTACACTCTATCTAATGATTTCTAATCATTTTGTAGGGTATATAAGAATGATACTAAATAAAGTGGATTAGCATACGTTTGTATTAGTTATGCTTTCATTAATTATTTTTTATGCATTATTTGATTTGGTGTATTAAAAATGACATTCATTGCACAATTTTTTTAAAAAACATTTATTTACAAAAATAACATCCACAGATATGATGGAAAAAATATAAAAAAGATTGAGTGACAATTGAGTCTTTAACCATGCTAATGCATGCATTAAACATACATAGTGTATAACTCATATTAACATTTCCATGTATTAGTTATACACAATAAAGTGCATGACTAATGCACGTTGTACCAAATAAGGTTCTACTAATGCATAAGCTAATGCATGCATTATATCCTGTTTTAAAGGGTGGGGACGTGAGACTAGACGTTTTACTTAGTATATTGAGGCGAGAAGTAAGCCCTATGGATCATTAAATATTTATTTCATGATATAGTAAAAATAATATAATAACACAAAATTAAAAAAATACATCAATAGTTTAAATTAATTAAAAATATGATTAAGAAAACTAATAGAAAATAAAGCTTCTAACATGATTTTACAAGTATAAATAATAAAATGATATAAAAATTATTATGAGTCGCAAATCAACTCTAATATATTAACTTTCAAATAATAAAAGAATCATTATTTCTTAAAATATATTACTATCATACTATCAAAAATTTACCTCCTAAAAGAAAAAAAAATTCAATAAAATCATTAATATTAACATCACTCAATCATGGATAAAATAAAATTACTTTCAAATAGCGAAATAATAAAATATGATAATTTTGAGACAAAAATGTGATGCCCAATGATAAGTAAAGATGTACAATTTAGCTATATAATTTTAGAAGAATTATTAAGTAATAATCACTCTCACAATGTTACCAAATAGTAAATATGCGATACTACGACTTGTTATATATATAAGGGTCAACAATGGGCACTCCATCCCCTCTTTATTTTAGTTCCTATTCTTCATTTTTAGATAAGTGAATAATAGTTCTCCAAATTTGGAGAACTACTATTCACATCTCTATTTTACTTTTTCATTATTTTATTATTATTTATATTATTGTTTCTATTATTTTGTAATGAACATATTATTTTATATGTAATGCCATTAATTAAATAACTAATATTCATAATTCTTTTTAAATGTAATACAATATTTTAAAAAATATATTATTTAATAAATACTATTTTCATCCCGAATTAATCATATTTTATTTTTTAAATTTTCGTCACTAATATAATTTAAAAATCTCCGATTTGAACAATTTTGCAGCTAGACATAAAAAAATTAAGGAAATTTTTTTTTCATTTTTAACTCCATAATGCATTAATAGAGCATTTAAGGGAGCATCGTAATAATCTTGAAAATTGAGTATTTATGTAATATTTATGTAATTGTATTTCATTAATGGTTTCACTTTAATTTAAATTGTCCATTAATTCGTATATCATATAAAGTTGCTTGCAATTTATGTTATTTGAAAATTTAGAATAAAATATATTTTTTATTAAATAAAGAGTTTGAAAAATAAAAATTATATAAAATGATTATTTGAAAAGAAGAAGAAATGATATATATGAAATAAGAAAATAAAAATGAAATAAAAATAATAATATAATATTAAGGAGAGAGAATAAGATTATTTTTAGAGAGTAAAATAGAGAATCGAATTGAAGTTTATTGTCCGAAAAAAATAGAGAGCTCTATAAAATAGAGTATAAGGTTGGAGATCCCTTAATATCTAATTTGTGTAAGATTTGTTAGGCGAACCTTAATTGTTTGACGTTGCATGTTTATGATGTAAGTCTCACAGAACTAAGTTCCACACATAAGTCTCAGAACGTTTTGCCAGAGCCCCGCCCCGGAGCAAGCTTGGGGCGAGTTCCAACCCTGCCTTTTAAAACACAAAATTTATTTTCTTCTAATATTAATAAAGTGAAAACAAAAAAGATCAAGAATTAATTAATTAAAAGAAAAACATTTGTGAATTTATTATTTAATATATAATAGAAGTATAAGAAGAATTAATGAAAAATTAAAAAAAAAATGAGCTGAAGCTCTTCTTCGCGTCAACCAAAAGAGGAAGCCGAAAATAATACATCCGCCCCTGGTGACTGCAGTCATCTAAACCCTCCACCAATCACGGCGGCGCGTGTACTATCCTGAACTATCGACCTATCTACTCCGCCACTTAATTGGGCAACACAGAGGTTTGCAACCACAGCTCCACCGTTTTTACTATGAATTTTGAGGATGAAGACTTTGAACTGAGAGAGATTCAGAGGCTTGAAGGCCACACCGATAAGGTTTGGAGCGTCGCTTGGAAACCGGCTACCGGAATCAATGGTATTCCAGCTGTATTCGCTTCCTGCAGCGGCGATAAAACCGTACGAATCTGGGAAGAGAACTCCACAGGCTCTTTCCAGTGTCAGGTTTGGTTTTTGTCTAGTCATAAGCAAAATCAAAGCTTTTGCTAAATTTGAATTTTGGATACTTGGAGTAGGTAGTAAAGAAATTCTATGTTGGAATAGACAAAACATTTATTGGCATGAAAATATCACGGAAAACTAATACTTGATCAAAGTGAAAAATTAACAGTAGTGTTTGACAATCTTGAATTTGCTCTACGATCAGTGGATACTAAGTAAAGAGCTGCAATAAAAATCCATTTTTTCCCCTAGTAATTAGTAATCTAAAATTTGTTAATAACTTGTTTACTATGAAGTATCAGTTTAGTCCAAGAAAAATAAAAAAATATGAAGTAGTAGAAATTAGTTCTTCACATGGAAGAAGTTTATGCACTGGAACTATATCGACAAAGGAGTTACTTATGAGAGTATCAGCTTCAAATCTGTTGTGTTAGATTCTGCTTTAGTTCTTTGATCTTTATTCTGAGATTTGGTAAGTTTCTCCTTTTATGAATTATTATTTACTTATGATAGTTGATTAAATTTATTGGAAAGCACACATGGGGTTGTGCAGCCACAAAGCAAGGTGTACATTTTTTCCGTCTTCCTTTTTTCTTCTTCCTCTAGTAGTCTTTCCATGCTCAAGAGATAAAATGGCCTTCATCCTCTAGCTATAGTAACTCTTCAGCCTATAAGAATAAAAACCAAGCTGTAGTGACTATTTGAAGGAAATTTTGCAGGCTGTTTTGGAGGAAACACATACGCGGACTGTTAGATCATGTGCATGGTCACCGTCAGGCAAATTTTTGGCAACAGCTAGCTTTGATGCCACCACTGCTATTTGGGAAAATGTTGGGGTTGACTTTGAGTGTGTCTCCACTTTGGAGGTACAGTTACCTTTTGGCTTCCGTCTCTCTTTCATTTTTATTACCTCGGCTCTAACAATAACCTCCACAAAGTAGGCAAATCTAATATCTTCTGTCCGTTAATATCTTATGCATATCACAATATAAACTTCAGAAGAGAATTTGTTACCTGTGGAATTGTGCTTAATCCTTTAATTTGGCTGATATTGCTTTGTGATCCTAATTTACATTTACTTTTATATTTGACCTTTTTCATTATCTTGAATGGGCAACAAATGTACTTAACTCTTGTCTGCCTTCTTATTTTTCTTACGGATAATGTTCAGGGTCATGACAATGAAGTGAAAAGCGTTTCTTGGAATAATTCAGGCTCACTGCTTGCGACATGTGGACGAGATAAGTCGGTTTGGATATGGGAAGTGTTGCCTGGAAATGAGTTTGACTGTGTTTCAGTGTTACAAGGACACACACAAGATGTTAAGATGGTTCAGTGGAATCCATCTATGGATACTTTGTTCTCATGTAGTTATGATAACACCATTAAGGTATAAGGTTTAACTTTTCATCCCGCCCCCCATCTCTCTCTATTTTTGTTTAGAGAGATTCTTGCTTGCTTTTCATACCCCTATTACAGGTATAGAATTGGTAGTCAACTTGTTTTTCTTTCATATGTAAGTTATAATATCTAATCTCTAGTGGTGCTTGAAACTGCAGGTTTGGGTAGAGAATGGTGATAGTGATGATTGGCATTGTATTCAAACTTTGGGTGAATCTAATAGGTAAGAGTCGTTATTGGGCAAAACAGAATCTTAAATTTATTGTACCCCAGTATTGATTCAAATCCCATTCAAAAAACACTAGAGATTTTCTCCAGCGGCCGAAGTCTTAGTAAGTAGAGTTCCCTAGCACCTGTATTGGCGGGAGGTGGTAAGGGCCGGATGATTATTCGAGTTCAGACCACTGTTATAAAAAAATGTTGAATCTTGAATTTATTGTATTTGCTAGTGGAGAAACAATTGACCACTTAAACTATGTCATCAAGGTGGTGATTATATTCTTAGTGTTGTAAGCCCTCTTTTATGTAGATTAGCCATATTTTATTGAAATGAGGTGACTTTCTTAGTGTGTAACATGTAGCTAATTTAATGTAGGTTATTAACACCTCTGTCCGAAATTGACAAGTTTTGAGAATGAGAACTTCCTAGTGATCATTTGCAGAATATGTGGGATCATAGGTTTTAAATGTTTTTAGGTATAATCAGATGGAAATCTTGCTTGGTAATTTACAAATAAGGTTATCATCATTCAGGAAGATCTCATTATAAGAGTCAACATGAAGTTAAATTTTTGGGGGAAAGAGACAGAGAAGTAGTTGGATAGGTGTCTTAACATGGATGAATACTTGCATGCATTAGAGCAAGTGGACTTATTTAGGCCCAAGTTTACGATTTTTTTGAGTTTCTTAGAGTGAAGTTTTATCCTTGTTTTGTCCTAAAGAAGTTTGCATGTATGAGATTTAAAGAAAACTGTGTCAACAAGCCGAATCCTTTCTTGATGTAAAGAAACACGGGAAGAGATAGCTGTGACATTCATTTACTAAATTATTCTTGAACTCATGAAATTTATTTATTTATGGGTGAGGAGACTATATGGGTACTGAAAAGCTGAAATATCTTCTTTCGAGATGCTCTTACGAGTTTGCTCGGAAATGACAGGATAATGTTGTATGATAAATGGATGAAGTATTTTCAGTAATTCTGGCCACCACCAGTTGATTGGATAAAAAATGTTGGTGATCCCTCAGTTATTTTCCCTTTTGGTGGTATATTTGTGTCTATATAGTGTGTAAATATATCTTTTCTCCCGACAAACCTTTCATTATGCGATTATTTGGAAACTTCATTAAATAGTCATATATTAGATTGCTGTTTTAGAGCGTCTGAATTCACTTGTAAAACCTTTTGTGTAAGCTCTTGCACTCATCCTACTGACAGTGAAAAGGGGTCCATATATACCCATATCAATGGAATGATTCAGGCATTTAAAAGTTCTGCTCTCAAATTTGTGCCGTCTTGACTGCTCTTTTACTGGTTTATCATATTTCCTCATTGGCCTAAAATGTCAGTATGTGGCCTATAACAAGCAGTATGAGTGTTTTAGGGTTTTGATAACTCTGCTTTAAGATGTTTTGGGAGCTTATGTCACTACATGGTTGAACTTTCAGTGGACATACATCTACTGTCTGGTCTCTCTCTTTCAATGCTAGTGGAGACAAAATGGTTTCTTGCAGGTATGTTTTTCTTTCTGCTGAATTCATTTTAAAATATATGCTCTGAAGTCTCTGGTGTATCTTGAATAGGATAGTTGTTACAGTCACTACTTGAATAGAGTTTACATTGAATTCTGTGAATTGCAGTGATGACCTTACCATTAAGGTATGGACTAGCAAAATGCAGGAATGGGATCAAAATGCACCTTGGTAAGTGTGATATTATCCTCCCTTTTCTAAGCATAATGTTATCCTATATAGTTGATTCATCCATAAGATAAGGAGTGGCACGACATAATGCAGGATTGGTATCAAACTGCACCTTGTGAACTAAGGGCCGTTTGTCCATGATTTGTTTGGAAATCAGGTTAATTTGAAGTTCAAATTTTGCTTGGACATGCAATTTGAATCTCAAAAGTTGGTACTTTTTCTCGTAAACATGATAACCCCACAATTTGTGAAAATTATCAAAACTTTCCCAACACTTATACAATCTTCCCAAATGAGCAAACCATAATTAGTAAACAAAGTATTGGAAGCACCGCATTAATAGATCGTATATCTTTGTGTTCCTTTTATAAATAAGATAAATGCTTGCAATTACAAATGTTAATATACACATAGTTTTACAAAGATCCATTGGCCCAATAAATCGACAAAAGTAATAACTAGCTATTCTTTAATATAGTCCTCCCCTCATGTATGGTATCGACAATCTCTTCACATCGAGCATGAGTCTTATTAATTTAAAATTATGCTTAATTTTTTGCAAAATATAAACTTATGGATCTAGTTTTAAATTTATTTAAAATTGAGATGACAAACTTAGAATTGAAATCATACTCTTAGGAGAATTTGAGATTTGAAATCATGATTTGAAGTTTAAGTTTGTTTAAATTTCATAACAAATGCTAATAACAAATCAAAATTTCGAATTTGAGCTCCAAATTGCATGGCCGAACGCCTACTAGTAATCAAGTGTGCAAGATATTAAAGCCTTCTGGCTTTTGTTTGACAACTGGTGTGTGATCTCTTCTGTTTCATGACTTTTACCTTCCTCTAGTTTGTTAGTGTTTGTAGTTAAGAAGTATTTACTTTTATATCCTAAACCAAAACATTAAAAGATATTTTTTCGTATAAGGTACTGTAGCAGGGTGCCCATTTGTAGTTAAGAAGTATTTACTTTTATATCCTAAATCAAAATGTTAAAAGATATTTTTTCGTATAAGGTACTGTAGCAGGGTGCCTTAATGAGCCATCCTTATTTGTCCCTGGGCAATGTAATTAAGCAACAACATGCTCAGTTTTACACGATTCAGCCGCCACTTAGACATGTAGATTCCAGTAAATTCCTTTTGTATAAATATTATAATGCCAATTTGTTTCCAAAAGAAAAGCTTTGTATAATTTGAATATCAGTTAATGCATTAGGTGGACAATGATTTTTGTTCAGCTAAGACAACATTTATTGGTTTGTTCAAATTTTTCCTCATGCGGTCATGCCAAGAATGGTCCTCATTCGATTGGTGAACTATGTTCGATGTAGTTGTTCTTGTTGAAGTGTGTGATCATCTCATCTAAATTTTTAAGCTGTTAGATAGAGCATGCTTTTATTTACTTACTTATGTCCTTAATACACGGGCCTGATTCTTTTTCATGGCCAAGCGTGTGGAAATTCTCTCTTTTTAAAAAAAAATAATGGTCGGCGACTTGAACACCATCTTAAAGTGTATGGCCATCTCGTTTAAAAGCTTAAACTTTTATAGAGAGGATACTTTTATTCACTTAATTATTATTTCAACAGTTCTCGGTAGTTACTATGTTTGCCAACTCCTGATTAGCAACCATCTCCTTTTTGTGCTTGTCAGGAAACATGTCTGCACCCTATCTGGATATCATGATAGGACAATTTTCTCAGTTCATTGGTCAAGGTAGCTTCTCTATGACCCTGTTTGGATGGGCATAAAGCTTCTTTTAAGTTCTTTTCAGCTTTTTGGAGTGTTAAGCAAAATTCAGAGTAACTTTTAAGTTAAGTGCTTTTAAGCCAAAAGCAATAAGTTGGCAATTGTGTTACTTCAGCTTAACAACTTTTTTGCTTTGATTAATCTGTTAAACTTTTTTTCATAAATAATTATTTTTATCCAATATAAATTAACTCCAGGACTTGAAGCTTAAAAGCTACTTATATTCAGCCAATCAAAACAGGTTCTATATCTATTTTCTTATCATACTCATGCTAATGTATGCTTCCCCTTTTTGAAACCCCTAATATTACCTTTCTCTGATAAGGTTTTCCTTTTGTCCTTTTTCTTAAAGTGTGTTGTTAGGTTTTTTTTTTTTTTTTTGGGGGGTGGGGTGGGTATCAATAAAATCTATTGCATCTTTTTTCTATAATCAAGAGTTTTATACCTTGTGTGGTGCTGTCTAGATTTTATGGTTGATCACTTTTTTCAGGACTTGTATGCATGTTACCTTAGTTGCCTCTGGGGCATTTGTAAACATTCTATGAATTTTCAGTAATGAGGGCTTGTAGTTGTGATAATTTGCCCTGCCGTCCTACAGGCTAACATACTTAACATGCTAAAATGTCAGGGAAGGAATAATTGCCAGTGGAGCAGCTGATGACGCTATATGTTTATTTGTTGAGAATAACGACAATGAGGTATTGAAAAACCTTTATTGTCCCTTTTTCTTTTAATAATCATGTATTCCAGATATGATATCTACTAGTGGCGGATCCAAGAATTCACTAAGGGATGTCAAAATTTGAAGTAGTAAACCCACGAAAGAAGCCAAGAGGAGTCAATATATAGTATACACACATAAAAAATATTTTTTTACCTAGCTACTCAATGTAATTTTCTCTAAGGGGTGTCAATTGACACCCCTTGAATACATGTGGCTCCTACACTGATATCTAGCACAGTGGTGAATTTTGTCCTGCTCTGTTCTCACTTCCCCCAACCCTTCTCCTATTCACTCCATTTCTTGGGGGAGCTAAATGGTGGGGTGTTCTTCAGGGAAGTCACTGGTTCACCCTCTGCTATGTGGTTCCTTGCTAAAAATATTGACTTCTTGAGTTTTTGTGGGTTCTTTATTTCCTGTGAAGGAAGTAACTACAGTGACTTCCTTTTTATTCTTTTTCTAGCTGTTGGGTCTCTATGAAAAGACCGACAGAGGTGAGTTTTCATTTGGTTACCTCAGGCTCCCTGTTTAAATACCATTAAGTTAGTAAATACAATTCAGGTGGATCTGTATTCTGTCATAAAAGAAACTAAATAGCTCAGAGGACCGCTTTTTTTTCCTACAATTTTCAAGTTTTTCAGGCTAATGAGCAGATGACAGTGTCCCGGTTTCATGGGAAATGGGAATAACAACCTGGAGATTTCAGGTTTGGATCCCATCTAGAACACTAGGAGTGTTCCCATTGACTCCAGCCTTGCTGGGCTGGATTACCTTGGCAGCATTTGCTTGCATGCTGAACAGGCTGCCTGATAGTAGTCGAGGTGCCAGCAAGCTTCCACAAACTCCAGCCATATATATAAATATAAATGGGGAGAAAAGAGAAGATTACAGTAAAGGACCCTGATAACTGCTTAGGACAGTACTTGGATCCTGACTTGGTTCTTCTGGCCCAATCATCTATCCACTTGAATATCTTTGTTAAATTTTGATACATAGTGAGGAAAGCAAAATATGTTTAATCAGGTTGAGTAGAAAATCCATTAGAGACAGCTGAAAAAATTAGAAAAACTTACCTCCATTAACTGTATTATAATTCTAAAAAGTCATATGAATGTTGTCGATATACAACTACTGCAAGTATTCTATTATCACCTCTTCCAACTCTTCTTTGGCATAACAATTATACTGTGTCTGCCTTATCCAAATAACAATAAAAAATTTACTGTCTGATGGCAGGTTGAGGGAACTACATTTAAACTACTTCTGAAGAAAGAGAAGGCTCATGAAATGGATGTAAATTCTGTGCAATGGAACTCTGGGGTAAGTCAATGGGATACCAGAATGATCAGATTTTTGACATTTGCTTGATCATCTGTTGTTGCTTTGACTCTGTATTAGTCTCTGCTGCAAGATGATTTATTTTTTAGTAGAAGCCAAGATCACCTGAAAATTTCTTCAGCGTGTTAGGGATGATAATCTGTTACCCATTCAATCCCGTGTTTAATTGCCACGTTGAAGTGTAACTAATGTCTGACCTTTCCAATGTATCTTGTGTTGGCGCTTGATGATGCAGTAATGTGGATAAGACAAGTGGCACCTAAATTCGGACATGTTAGATTGAGAAAAGCTTATTAAGATCATGTTTCATTTGTGATATATATGAATTTGATGTCTGACCAATATTCCGTTTGACACTCGACTTTCAAATCCACAATTCTAAATGGAGCCTTGGGTTATTGTGCGGTGAGATGGTATTACACATTATAAATGTTGGCATACTGAGAACACATAAAAGCATTTAACTTTGGACCTGATAAATAGTTGTTAACCTCAGTTTTTCTTTACTTTCCGTTGACCAATGTGTCACATAATGTGTCAGAGCTGACAATTTGTGTTGGGTACGTCAAATATATTAGGCACTGCAATGATTGTTGTAAGGTTTTTCAAGGAGATGAAATGTTTGTCTTCAGTTGTGTTCTCAAATATTCAGTCTTGACTGTTTTATGTAGAGGGTAGAAGGGTGAATTTATTGCATATTTGAGTTTCATTTCTATGTCCCTACAGTATGAAAATAAGATTCTCTTTGGTTAAATATATGCTCTGCAGTACGTTTTACGTTCTTCTGTCAATCATGCAGGATAGGAGGCTTCTTGCTACGGCCAGTGATGATGGGACTGTGAAGATATGGGAGTTGGTTCGTCTCTCTGGACAGAAGCTACTGTAAACATAGCTCCACAGCGGATATTAGAAAGCAATGCACATCATTTTCCGATGTAGAAAATATAATTTACAGTCATTTCGAGCCTTTATGAAGTCTTCCAGAAAATGTTAGCTTTAGGCTTTAGAACTGTATGTGGAACAAAGTGTTAGCTTTAGGCTTTACTGTGTGTGGAACCCTTCCATCTTTTTATCCAATAACTTAATTTCTCCAACAGTTTGGTTTTGCAGCTATTTTGAGATATCAATTCAAGCTTTTAAACTACTTGTTAGTAGATGACCATTTCTGGCTCCAGATTCTTCATCTCTAGGTTTTTTTAGACCAATAGTTTGGCAATGAAATGGAAGTCATTCGTTGTTCTTTTACTGTGTTTTATCTCGTCTTTTGGTCAGATTTAATTATATGAAGGTTTCAGGTTGCAGATGAAGTGTTTGATGAAAGTGCTGAGCAAGCTTGTGCATGATTGATTAAAGAAATCAAATGGGCATATTTAAGGTTTGCTCAGCTAGATTGTCTATCTTTCTGTGAGGCTTTTAAAACTTGATCAAGCTTTGTCCTCGATTTATCTTTCGTGCTTTGATTTGAGTTCTCTTTGTCTGTTTGATGTTGAATCTTGCTCGAATTTGGTTATTGATGGTTTCTCTTTGTGCGATTCGGCCTGTTGTCACCATAGTGAGGTTTATAATGTGAAAAAACACATTTTGGTGGTTGCCTTGTGATAGACTATTCAAAATAACTGCTCTTCATACATATTGTGTCGATTGAATAAGCCCAGTAGCAATACAAACATGTCATAATTTTTATTTTCAACCATTTAGTTGAAAAAAGATTTACTCAATAGAATAAAACATGACCTAAACTCACTATAATAATCAATATTTTCTTAATAGGTATGCTAAATCAAAATTTAACAAGTAAAAAAGGACAGAGGAAGTATTGTTTAGTGAGTTGTCATCATTTTCCTCTATGCTTCCAATTTGTTCATAAACTCAATGGAGTTCCAATATTATCTCTGATGTTTCACGGTACATAAAACTATATATAGTACTATAATTAACTTATCAATATATTTGAGAATTAAGGCTGGCTATAGACCTTATTGCTAAAATATTGAAGGTCTCGTTTGTGTTTGCTTATCATTTAATAATTTATTTTATCTTGTACCTCACCTTTTTATAATAGTTGAATCTATTTGCCTACTTTTCTTATAGGTTTTTAACATTATTTTTTAGAGTGACATCTTAAGGATCGATTGGTAGAGTGTATAAAAATAATGTGAAATACAGTTTATTAGTAATGCTAGTATTAATTAGGATAAACTACTTATTAGAAATACATTACTAAATATTTGTAACACCTCGGACTTCGAGAAAGGGCTAGAATGGGAAATTTGGGCAAGTCCACTAATTCAAAATGGACCATGGACCCTTCACGACATCTTAGACGATTCGTGTAGGGGGACCACAGTTTGTTAAGGATGTTGTGAGTGACCATCCAGGACTGCCCTGGGAGGGGTCACCTAGACGGCGCCCTAGAAGGCCCGTGGTGACTTGGCCGGCCCGCCTAGGGGTCCGTACAAGTCACCCAATCAAAGAGGTTGCACCCACGTCAAGTCTCGAGTGTTGGGGCAACTTCAACCAGTCATATCTTTTAGCGAAAAATGAATTTGGTGGCCCTTGACCTATAAAATTAAAGGTCTTTGAGTACTCTTTCCAATGCCACCAAGTTTGCCTAATTCTGAGCCCGGAGTAAAAAGTTATGCTCGTTTTAGTGAAGCCCCATCGGGCAGGGCAACATAACTACCCACTAGACGGGCCATCATGCCTTAGACGACCCGTCAAGCCCCTCTTGAAGGTCACCTTGTCAGTTTTAAGTGAGGTTGCACCCCCAAGGATACTGTGAAGGACAACAGACGCCTAGACGGTCCGTGAAGCTTCACATTGACCGTAAAGTCGTCCGTGAAGGGGACTTATCAGATTTAGAACTTAGGGTCAAATTTAAACGATCATATCTTTTAGCACAAAATAAATTAGGTGGCCATCACTTATCAAATTAAAGATCTCTGAATCCTCTTTCCAACACCACTAAGTTTGCCTAATTCCAAGCTCGGAGTAAAAAGTTATGCCCGAAATAGTGAAGCCCTGTCGGGCAGAGCATCTTCACGACCCACTAGACGGGTCGTGGTGGCCCGTGAAGCCTGTCTTGAAGTCACTTCGTCAGCTTTTAAGTCAGGTATGTGAGATTTCACTAGTGGGTTCCTTCCACCCATTAGGTCCCTAGAATTCAGTCAGTTCTTTAATTCTCATAAATTGTTCAGACCTAGGGTTTCCAAAACCTTGGGGATTCAATGTAATTTTTGCTGCTATAATTTCCACGATCTAAATAACATGTTTCTTGGAAAATTTGCATACTTCCATGTATAGAATCCAGAACCCTAGCTTATATTACTTATCACTATTTCATTAATTATACTTGCTAGGTAGATCAGTTAGAAAATCATGCTTTAGAATTTGAATGTCATATCTTTCAGTATATTTATGTTGCATTCTCAGATAGCATATCAATATTTTGAGCTACTCAGTATTTCAGTACATTTTAGCTATACATATTTAGTTGGGAGTAGACTTAGTACCGAGTTGGACTAGGGTTCAGTGTACCCTCAAAGTCCGAGAACTACGTGCCAACATAGGTTCAGAAGTCCCCTCTGTTGAGGAATCAATTTTTAGTGATCACGCCATAGTCATGTCTTTATACCCTTGGAAAGGTATATTGGGTCCTCTCGATGGGGCGTATACATCGGACTCCACGTTTAACTCACATGGTTTATGTCAGTTAATAGTAGCTCCCATAATCATACTCTTATTGCATCGACCATGTTATTAACATTTACTTCAGTATTCAGTTCATCATGTTATCTCCATGATTAGTACTTGGTCATTGCATCTAGCTCAGTTTTTAGTTATACTTTAGTACAACCTATCTATATTGTTCAACTTAGTATTTATATCATGCATGCTCCATACATTCAAAGTACTGACACATACTTTTGCGCTACATCATTGTATGATGTAGGTTCAGGCGCCTAGCATCCAAATCACGCTTAGTTCGACTTCCAGCACATACTCAACAACTTTAATCGTGACTCCTCATAGTCCAAGGACGTTTCTTTATGCTTTTGGTTTAGTTAGCTTATTATCAATCTTTCAGTATTTTTAGAGTTAGTTGGGGACTTGTCCTAGCAGCTCATCAATATTAGAGGCTTTCAGACATAGAGTCAGTATTCAGTTGTTTTGGGTTGTTTCCTCTTTGATATTCAGTTATATTCTCACTTGAAGTTCTTTTAGTTTTGACTCACTTTACAGTTATGCTTCCACGCACTTAGTTGTATTTCAGTATGCTTGTGATATGTCAGACTCAGGGTTAGTCACTTGTAATCCTAGGTTTCGTGTTGCATCTAGGGGGTAGCCTCGGGGCGTGACAATACTACTACCATATATACTAACATTATCTTTCCTTTCAAACAATTACATATCTTACCACTTTTAATATTTTATACCATATATTATTGAAGATACAAATAGATACCAACATCCCTTAAAATTAGGATTGATTAATTATCTCTTCAATTTATTCTTTCATTCCAAATCATTTCCTCTCTCTCAATTCTCCACTCTATATTTATCACTCAATTATCTCTCCTCATTTATGGTTCAAGAATTTCACCATACAATTTCATTCCAACAATGGCTAATCTACTCTATTCTTCTCAAGATATCATCACCATGACCAACAAAATCTCCTGAACCCAAATTTTATTGTGTATTGTTCCTTTCTAATGAGACTAAATCGAAGTAATTGTTACAAAGAAAGTTTTCCAAGTTAATTGATGATCCAGTCAAACATATTACATTCATCCTCTTTATCATCGATGCCATGAATTCTATGGATTTTTTCAAGTTTATATTTGATAAATTCACGGTGGTGTGTTGTATATCTATTAACCTGTTGTCGTCTATAATGGGGAGAAGGATTAAACATAATTTCTTCTATATGTGTCTCGAATTAGTGTTATGTGTCTCCGTCTTAAAAACTTTGAATCTTGTTTTATATCCGATATAATGACATGTATCTGATAATGCTATTTTACATTTCTTGTATCTAGTTTTGTTTGACAGAAAATTCTACTTATTTTACATTTCTTGTATCTAGTTTTGTTTGACAGAAAATTCTACTTATTTTACATTATTTTCTCCAATACACTCTATCGAACTACCTCTAGGTGTTTTTGCAAGTATACCCTTACTAGAAAATGGTAAGGAGCTAGGGAAGAAATCAATCAATTTTTGTAGAATAATCAAAAATAACTGTCCACTTCTATCAATCCACTACATTCAAACAAAGTAGAAGAAAAAAAATTGATATAACTAACTAGATCAAAACCTCAAAGTGACCAACTATAATTTGGAGGGAGTTGAAAGAATCTAGGCTGAATCCAAATTCCTTTGAAATGTTGAGCATTTGTTCCTTCCATTGCCTCAATGTTTTCATTGTGGATCAAAACTTCTAAATCACTTCCAAAATAAGTAGCACCACAAGTAGTAATAGTAACATCATCACCAAGATTCATCTGTTTTTTCAAATTACTTCTACTAAAAAGTTTGTCCTTGTACCTAAATGACAATGTTTCCAAATTTGGATCCTTAGATTGCTCAATTACTAAGAACATCTCAAAACTTTTATCTTCCAATGTGAATGTCAACAACTTCTTAAAACCATCCATCATATAGAGACATCCTTGTTGAAAAGTAGCACATTTAGCATCACCAAAACTCTTTTGATTAAGTTTGAGATCATATTCATACTTAATCCACATGCTAGCTCCGCGTTCTAGCACGTTTACCTCCACAATATCATCATTTTTCTTGTAAATGATAGCCGTAACACAATCAATTGAGGAAGGAGGTGAGGTAAATGCAGCAGCAGCCGCGGGAGTGTTTTCTAGTCCTTGAATAGGTGGGAGGTCAATTTTCACGCGAGAGAAAGGGCAGAAGAAGAAAAGGTTACCTCTTTGTGATATGAGTAACCAACCTTGAGTTGATGCAAGGCAAGTTGCTTCTTTCAACTCAGGGATATTGATGGTGTAATTCTTGTTGATGGTTGGATTAAATAAGATAGTATTCTCATCGCGATCATTATGAAGAAGGAAATAGAGCTTTGAGTCACGAGACG